CTTTCATTAAAATCATGAATATAAATCCCCTTTCATCATTATGATATGCAAATGCATTTAATTAAAAATGTAATACAATAACATAAAACCTCATCATGCAAATTCACAAATCTCAAGAACATGGAGCACAAATAATCCACAAGTACATGTTCCACTTAAATCAAATACGCATGCAAAACATGAATGAACATTAAACAAAACCAATGATACATTCACACCTCTAAGTTGAATAGATAAGCAACATAACCAATTCATTTTTAACCATGAGACTAACCATTTTCCTTGCCATTTCATACTTCTAATCCTCAAAATTATTATAAAGCTCAAGTTAACCTTCATTTCCCTTACTTCTCATACTAGGCCGAAACTTAGCCAATGGAAGGTTAACTTCCATTCCTTCATTTTAACCTAAATTTTCTCATTTATATCATTAATTAAATATTTAATCATCAAATACACTTGAATTTGATTGATTAAGACAACTCATCTAAAACTTTCTTCTTGGATGAAGTATTCAAACTAATGAGCAAGTTTGAATTTTTCTAACTAACACCATAAATACACCTAAATTATTTCATCAAACACTTTGTCTACATTAAGCCATTTAACCATAAATTTCTTCATGTTATAAGGTATCGAACCACCTAGATCTAAGAACAATGAAATCATCAAAACTCACATGTTCATTTTAATTAACCAACAAAACATATCAATTTCAACATCACTAACACAAATATCAAAAATCCTAACCCACTAAATTCCAACATTATAACCATAACTCCAATGATTAAGCCATTAAACCATAAACAATAAAACTTCAATTTAACATCTAATACATATCGAAAACACTATTTTCTTATGATGTAGTGAGGATTACACTTACCTCACCAATCCTTAACCTTTTCTCCTTGGACTTCTTCCTCCTTTCTTCTCCTCTAAGTTTTGGCCAAGAGTGAATTTCTTCCTCCTCTTTTGCTTGATCTCCTAAACTAATTCTTAGGTAGTATTAGGATGTTTCTAGGTTAACTAAGATGGTTTGGAGTGGTTGTTTATCTCTTGGTCGCACTTGTTTTTCCTTTGGTGTTACTTGAATTCTAACAATTTCCAAGCTCTTCTTCCTTCATCCATGCATGAATTTATAGGGAGGAGATTCTCTTGGATTAAGACAAGTGTCTCACACTTAGATTAATCTCAAGTTCGACATTAATGATGGTTCTAGAATTTTCTTGATTTTTCCTATTTTCTTTCTCTTTTTCCTTGATTTTATGGTTGATTTTTCTCTCCCTTTTCTTCTCCTCTCTTCATCGACTTAGTTCCTCTCTTTTTCTCTCCACTTTTCCAAAAATTTATTTTTGGAATTAGTCTCCAAAAATCAATTAACAAATCCACAAAACACTAACATGTTACACTTTAGTCCTTAAATTTTTAATTGCTTCATTCGAGTCCTTCAAATCCTTCAATTTCAATCCTCAAACTTTTAATTTTTTCATAAATAAGCCCTTAATATAGGCATTTCCAAATTACAGAGTGGGCACTTAAATTTCTTAATCATTTTAATTAAGTATCTAAACTTTTAATTATTGCAATTATGTTCCAAGGTTTTGTTATCACGTCCCTAGGTCAAAGTATAACCATAATAATTAATATTACCAATCTCTAATTTAATCCTTATTCATTCCATTAACCTTCCATTATAATCGTACTTGTATTTATTTTATCACTAATATAAATATAGACTTCCATTCCTCACATTTAATAAATATTCTTTTATTAATTAAATAAAATATTCTTACAATATATTTACATTCGAAGAGAATTTTAGGTCATAGATATTACACGTGTGCTCTTTTTTTTTAAAAAAAAGTTTTCCTATCATAAAACAAGTATTCTTTGTTAGCTTAATGGTGACGAGTTTGACCTTTCTATTTTCAAACTCATCTCAAAATTCAAATATCTTCTCCACTTCAAGTAGCACTTTATGAATAGGTTTGAGTTTAGCTTGTCCTCAAACTCAAAGATATCATGTTTCACTCCATAGTCTTAGAATGTTTGTCGTTCCCTTCGTGATCTCTCAATTTTGGGATGCAACCTCTTTCTCAAAAGATTCAGCATGCATTTCATGGAAGAGATTCTCCTTTTAATTGTTTTTATAATTTTATTCTCTATTCATAGTCTCACGTCCCTTTTTAGACGCCACATATTACTTTTAACTCACGATTTTATTATCAAAACTCCTTATTGTCTAGTTTTATATATTTAAGTGCCCTCTCGCATGTTAAGCATAGTCATCTTATTCATTTGTTCTCTTTGTGGAGGTATTCTTCTATTCGGCCAAAATTCAAACGAAGCATCCCTAGCTTTAATACCAAACTAATGTTGGATTAGAAGATGCCTTAACTTTTTAGAAGTTCAAAAATACAAACACATAAAAAACACCTATTTTCGAAACTCACAAACACAAAATCAGCCACTAATCAACCTTAATCGATCAAAAGATACACCTCAAGTAATTAAGCAACTTAAATAACCTAATAAGACCACGCCCGAATACTATCCCGCAAACCCTAATTTCTAACAAACTTTGATAATGTTGAAATTATCCCTTCTATTTTTGATTTTTTTTAATTTTTAAATATAACATAAATAGAGCAAGGCGATGTGAATTACAAAATTTTAGCCAAAATAGATAGCTTTAACTACTCAAAGTGAAAAGGACTTTTCCATACAATCGACATTGAATTTAGGCTTTATCTTAAAGTGTCGACATTAAATTAGGATGCATATAACTTAATGACTTCTAATAAAATAAGAATTTAAACCTAGTAAACTAAAGCCACATATTCGGTCAGTAAACGAAATAAACACGAGGACTAATTTAATTAGTCCAAGTCCAAATAATTAAAACATCCTAAGGTAAATAATTATTTTGTCCGATGTTTTAATTAATTAGCTAAAGTCCCTTTATTTAGGCCAAATATAATTTAATTAGCCATTCTATCCTTTTATTTTATTTATTTGTGCCTAAATAATGCATAAATAAAAAAAATTAAAGGGATAGGGTGGCTTGATGTCTTAGCCTTGGAGCCAAAAACATTTAACCATGTGTGTTAAAGAGACAATCTTGTGTTAGGAACTCATGTCAACTTCTTATTAATTCCAATTTAAACAAAAAAGAAAAATTGATTAAAATTTTGAAAAAAAATCATAAAATATTATTAATTTTTTTGCCAAATTTTTATTTATTTATTGCTAAAAATATTTATTTTCTATTTTTTATTTACATTGGAAGATTTTTTTTTTTACTTTATTCTAACATGAAAAAAAATATCTTTTTGTTGTTAATTTTGCATTATTTTATGATGGATTTGTTATTATTATTTTTATAATTTTTAATTTTTTAGCTAATTTTTTTATTTTACATCTCGTGTCCTTATACTATCTAATAATGTTCATATTAACTCTTCAATCTAGATATAATACATAGCAAACCTTGAACTATTAGATGTTGGAATACATCTATCCTTTCATTAACTCCTTCCATCATATTAATGAAACTTCGTGAGTTGGCTAACATTTAGCTAGTCATGTGGTAACGTGTGTCAAATCAATTATTTTATTTTTTATTCTTTAATTGACATTTGTCATCATATAACTAGTGAGACATTATTTAATTAATAGAGTTTTGTGAATTTAAAAGAAGAAGTTAATGGAAGGAACTGATTTGTTCTAATTTCCATTATATAAATTTTTTTTGCTAACTTTTTATTTATTTCCTAACACTTTTCTTTGGATTTTGAAAATAAAATAAAATAAAATAAAAAATTAGCTAGAAAATAAAAGAAATATGAAAATATAAACAATCTAGTATAAATTAAGAAAAAATATATATTTTAAATACATTAAAACATTTTCTAATGTAAATAAAAAATTCAATAAATAAATAAAAAGGTGGAATTTTTTGGAAAAAAAATTTTCTATTTTTTTATTTTTTTATCAAAATTTTTTTTAAAAAAATATAACCAATAGAAAGCTCACATATGTCCCATCTTTTATTTAAAAGTCAAAATTAACGAAACTTGTGTGCAGACTAGCTTCTAATGGTGTTTATAATAGGATGAGATCTTGGGTTTTCACGTTCTAACCTCTCAATAAGAGGGATTACGACTATGGCGTTCGCCTTAATTGGTAAGATGGTTTATTTCTTTGTGGTTCGTTGAGCTTAGACCTGTAATAATAATAATAATAATAATAATAAAAAAAAAAAGCAAGTTGGTTAGCATTTGTTTCTGTGGGAGCCAATAGACCAGAGGGATCATGCATAGGTGGCTAAGCTTGACCAAAACGTGAAAGAAAAACAAAATTGGAACATAATCTGAAACCAAATCCACCATGTCCCACAAGAAATTAGCATGCGAGCCCCGTCTCCATTTACACGTTTGACACTTGGTGAAAATTAGGGAGACACAAATTAAGGTATAAAGAGATTTCACCTCATGGGAATTAAGGAAAAGTAAAGGACCTTTCAGTCATTTCGAACGGTAATGGTAAAAATAAATAAATAAATAACTATATATATAAGAAGAAGCAAAGCAGTCCATTCGGGCCGGCTTGTGGGGGCGAGAGACGGTAGAGAAATCGAGAAAGGGAGGAAAAGCCATTTGAGCCAGAAAAAAGAATAAATAATAATTAAATAATAATAATAAAACAACCTATCAATTTTGTGTAGAGGAGAAGGTGCTGTTTTCTTTCTGCCATCCAGTTCCTATCTCACCTATTCCTCCCCCTCCCCACCTCTCTGCCTCAGGCTCCAAACTTCTCTCTTCTTTCATTCTCGTGAATGCATTTTTATCTGTCCGTTAGCCATATATCCATGAAAAGTCAGATCGATCTGCTATTATAATTTGGTGCTGGTTTTGGTGTTGATTTCTATCCTCTTCCTCACAATCCACCTCTACTTTTGTTTCTTTTTGTATCTCTCTCTTCTTTCTTCTCAAATATACATGGGGAGAGCAAGAACAACAACAAAACAAGCTGTTGACCCGAATGGATCTGCAACTCAAAATATGTTAGCAATTGCAAAAGAGCCAAGATACAGAGGAGTCCGAAAGAGACCATGGGGCAGATTCGCTGCGGAGATTAGAGATCCCTGGAAAAAAGCCAGAGTTTGGTTGGGTACCTTCGACTCTGCAGAGGACGCAGCCCGTGCCTACGATGCGGCTGCCCGCAGCCTCCGTGGACCCAAGGCCAAGACAAACTTTCCCATCCGCACAACAAACCAGTTATTCAATTATCAAAACCAAAACCACCCAACCGATCCTTTCTTGGATCACCAAAATATAAATCCTCAAAGACCCACGTCTAGCAGTTTGAGCAGTACAGTAGAGTCTTTCAGTGGTCCTAGGCCGCCGCAGCCAACCACATCGAAATCGGGAAATGGTCCGAGAAGATCTCGGATCCCACCGGTGGTTCCAGAAGATTGCCATAGCGATTGTGATTCATCTTCTTCGGTGGTTGATGACAGAGACATCGCATCCGCTGCTTCTTCTTTGTGCCGCAAGCCTTTGCCTTTCGATCTCAATTTCCCACCATTGGATCAGGTTGGCTTTGGCTCTGGTGATGATCTCCACTGCACTGCTTTATGCCTTTGATGATGATGATGATTGATGATTAATGGTTAATGATATATGATTCAATCTCTCTCTCTCTCTCTCTCTCTCTCTCTAATTTTTTGTTTTTTTATGCGGAAAGAAAAGAAAAGAAAACAAATTACGAGATTGGATTATTAAGGTAAAAATGATCGATATTTTATGAGTTATGAAGGAATGGTTTTTTTTAATGAGAAAAAAAGTTCTAAAAATGTTTTTCTGATCTTTTTTTTTTATTATTCATTTTTGTTTTTGTTTTTTCAGTAGAGGAAATCTTGTTACTCATGTCATGATAGATCTCTCAACTGCGGGAAAAAAAAAACCTAGGAACTAGAAAGTGTATCATTTAGGTTATGACAGAAAATTTTTAATATAAATGTTGTTTTCTATTTATGTTGGGCTCTTTTTGATGCCACATGCATTTCTGATAAGTTGTGCCTGAAAGGCAATCTTGCTGAACATAGAAAGTGAATGCTTGTTTATTATTTGGGACAGGATCTAGGGTGCCTGTCTTTTATTCAGTGATCCTCAAATAGTTATGCTTTTGGTGGTTGCATCGATATGATAAGGAAAAGGAAGATAAAAACTGTGGTGAATTTGTTTGGAATACTTCTTTTGTTTCATGGTTATGGGATGGTTTTGAAATATATAAATTAGGCTATTATACCTCATTATTTGGCGTTTCTCACTAGACAAAAAACCTTTTTGTTATCCCTCTCGATATCTACCAGCAGGTAATGTTTTCTTGCATTTCAATGCTGTCAACCATGATATATTGCATTGCTCTACTTTCTTCGTTAGAGTATGCATTGATCTAGAGAAGCAAACCAATGTTTGGTATGAACATTGGAAGCAACGATGATTCCAACTTGATGACATCTACCCTGGGCTCATTGGCTTCAAGGAAATAAGAAAACCTGGGTGGGGCGGTTTTGTATTGAACAAGATTTGAGGAGCTTTACCAGATCTGGCAATTTACCAATCTGGAATGAGATATGTTAGATTTCATCTTTTCTTTTCAAACAATAGTTGTGGGGTGTTGTGTTGTGTTGTGGTGTTTGGAGTCGGACAAAGAACTGCTTGTTCCGGCCTACGTTAGGTTTGATCATAGTTGGCATTGGTAGAAAATCTCACTGTCCCCAGAACCACCAAAAGAAAATTGGGTTAACGCTTGCTCATGTGCCTGAACTCTTTTACCCATTTGTGTTTAATAGATCATTATTTATTTATTTTTGGTCTTAACTAGAGACTATTCGGTTAAACGGTTCAGTTATGTACTTAGTTTTCGGTTAACCGAATTAAAGAAAATGAAAACCGAAATCAAATCAAAATTAATTTGGTTTGAAATCGAATTATTTAATAATAAGAATTTGATGGGATTTAAGAAGTCAAGTTTTAGCCATATCTGTAATAATCTTTCGGCCATAAGGTAGTTCATTAACTAGCGTGCACTATATTATCAATAGATAGGAAATAGCATAAGCAAAACCTTCATATTGGCTTTACTGATCTATTGTTAATGGGGGAAGATGTCAAAAGCATTTTGCCATAAGAATTTGATGTACATACGTCCAAAGTGCTTCTCAGCTTTTAGGTAACCATTCCTTTGATGATGCTTTAGGAAGTGTCTGGATGAGCCAGCTTTCAACCATAATACAAATTGACTCCTAAACCTTTTGCCCAACGTCTCATCCTCCATTCTCTTCATGCAACTCCTAGAGTCATGGCCAAGTAATCCACAATAGAAGCAAAAAAAAAAAAAAAAAAAAGGCAATCTTTCATACTTGAAAGTAACCCATAACTGAGTGCTAGGATTAAGAACCATTTTAACTCCCCTCCTCAATAGCTTCTCCATTGGCAAGGATACCTGAAATCGAACAAACTTCCATTGATCCATCTCCAAATTCGGTAAATCCACCTTTATAACTTGATCGATTGCAGCACCCAACTTATTAGCCACTGATTCAATAAAGCATTCCAATGGTCGATCCAAATTTAAACCAAAAAGGAGCATGGGCGAATTAAATATTACTAGATTGCATTACTGGCACCTATTTTCGTAGTAATATGAGTTGATTATCAAAATTCCATGGCTGGCAATGCATAACTGCTTGGTAGTATAATCATTTGCAAAGAAAAATTGAAACAGATTGTTCCCAATCTCCACAATTCTTACTTCATTATCCACTCCCCATGGAGCACAAATCGATCTCATCAAAGCTTGTTTGTTAATAGTTCTTGTCGTGAGAACCTTCCCACCAAGACTACATTGACAGATTTCCAAGGAAACAGATCCGAACTCTCATAGTCCACTTCCACTTCTACCGCTTCTTCCTTCCCAGTAAGGATGAAACTTTCCAATCCACTGACAATTCCCTCTTCCATTATAAAACAAAAGATGATTGAAGACAGAGAAAAAATAAAAGGAAATTAGCAAGAGACCAGGTTCAAAGAAGAAATTAGAGATGTAGAATGAAACAAAACTCATCAGATCTAAATATGTTGTTAATAAAGGCAAAAGGAGAAAAGAAATATTTAGATTTAGGGTTGAAAAATGAAAAGATGGCAGTTCTCAGCTTTTAGGTAACCATTTTATCCTTGATAATTTGATGTACATTCGGGTTCGATGAACAACCAGCACCAAATTTCGTTTACCCAAACCATTTTACCTTAATACCTTATTGATAATCTATGCCCAATACATTATTGTTATCAATAAAAAAATAATAATAATAAAAAAGAATGACTTTGGGAGAGCTCACGAGTAGAGGAAGAGGAAAAGAGTAGCTAAGGTCACCCGAGTAGGAAGAGGAGGGTGGTGGGTGGTGACCGATGAGTGATGACCGATGATCGTAACTCCATGAGATCGGAGGAAGATGGCAGAGAGGTGGGTTACTGGGTTGTAACTTGTGAAGGGTGAGCAAATGGTGGGTGGCGAATTTGGAGGAGAACTAGAGCTTGGAGGAGGATTGGGGAGAGGAGAACTTGGTGAGACGGTGATTATGTGTTTTAGTGTTTGATGTTTCAACGAAGAGAAGTTAGACAGTTAGGGATTTAGAGTTAGATTATGATTTTTTTTTTTACTATTCATTTCGGTTTTCTATTCAAACTAGAATTTTTTTTCAAAAACTAAATTAAACCGAAATAATTTTGGTTTTTCAGTTTAGTTTTATATTGTATAATTTTAAATTCAAAATCGAATCAAAGTTTATAATTTGGCTCGATTCTATTCCGTTTTTGGCTAATCGAACCGTTTGCTAACCTCTAGTCCTAACATCATTATTGTATCTTTGTATAAAATTTACTTTGGTCACTTTAATTTTTTACAAATAAACCCCTTAGTTAAAAGTTTTTTGGTTATCATACTTTACAATAAATACAATTTAGTTCTTGAATGATTTTTTTAAAGCATATCAAATAATAAAATTTGTCAAAATGTTCATAAACTTAGATATATTTAGTGTTTTTATTTTGATAACAAAAAACTCAATACATTCAAAAGCAACTTTAAAAAAAAAACCCAAATATGTCAATTTAGCTCTTTTACATCATATACAAGTCAATTAGTTTATTTTCATGCAACAAAAATCGCATATTGGCCAATATTTAAAAAGTTAGAAAATGAATTTTGATTCAAAATAGTAGCTCAATTCTTGAACTTTTTGATTATTTTTTGTTTGATTCAATTTGTTAGACTAATGCCGAAAAAAAAAAAAAAAAAAAAAAAAAATCAATGTGGTTGTTATTATTGTAATTTTGTTAAATTTTTATTTATTTTTAATACCTTGTATCTATTATGAGAATTTCCAAGAAGTTTACGTTTTGAAATATAAGAATTTAATTTTAAAAAAAATAATTTAGATATTAAATTGTATTTACGTCAAATGTGATGACCAAAAACTTTCAATTAATGATTTATTTGTAAGAAAAATAAAACAAAAGGACTGAAATAAAATTTTCAAAAGTGTTAGGTTTCAAAACGTACATCAATTAGAAATTTATTGTTGCTAAGTGTTAGATTTTAACAGTATAGGGAGTTAATTTGGTTTTTCCGTTTGATTTTGTTTTCTTTTGGTCTAATTTTTGATTAACTGAATTTTTAAAAATAAAAATAAAAATCAAATTGAAAGTTTATTTGGTTAAACAACCAAAATTTTGGTTTTGGTTCAATTAATTTAGTTTTAATCGATTTTTGTTTTCTTTTTGGCAAAATGAATCTTTTTTAAAATAGGCTTGTTTGGTCTTAGTCTCAACTCATGAGTTTTTGAGCGTTATTTATTTATTTTAGCGCAAAGTGGGCTTTTTAAAACATCAGATGCGTACCATGCTTCTTTGAGTAAGAATTTTGGACATAAGAAGCATCAGCCTCATTCAGCGATATCTACAATTACTTTTTAGTCAGAAATGAAAGATACGGACACCTTTGGACATAAGAATTTTGACATCCAGCAACATACTGTACATAAATTTATTAGATTTCGCAGATTAACAGTGTTGATATGCGCTTGAACAGTATACTTGCATTGATTGTACTATCTATATTCAAGAAGCAGCAGGTATCGTGTGACTCCAATTAGGACACGCGTTGCTATTCTCAAGCAAATCAAGGATGCAAGTTTCATAATAAATTTGTAACAACGGAATGCGAATGGCCAAAAGGATAGTGAATACTACAAACTTCAAAACAATGAACACCATACAATCATGTCTAGCAGATAGACCAGGTGGTTAAGAAAAGAAGATTCAAACAAGAACGTAAATAGCACATGTCCCGCAGCTCATGCTATCAACAGAATAATTTTGATTTAGCAAGCTGGGTTTCCAGTTAGCGAACATAAGCGATACCTCCAAGTGTATAACTTTCACCTCGAGAAAAATTGCTATCATGAGAAAGCATTTCAAGACAGTAATGATGTATTCGGAATAGTTTTTATCATTTACAAGTAGAGGAGGTATCGGGTGTCGATCTCAACAAGCACATACTTTTATTTTTGATAAGTCTCAAAATCTCAAAAAATGCAACAACGTTTTTTAACATAAATGAGAAACCGAAGAAGAAAGGCAACATTTTTCACTTAAAATGGGATGGTTTAGATTTGCAAATCCATGTAAAACGACGGTACTATTGAACAAGACTCAAGCATGTGTCATAGGAGAAAAAATGAAGTAACAGACCTCTACATAATCCTAGTCAGCGCATTCCGAAACTTGTAGACATTAAAAAACTAGTTTTTAACGAAACCTAGAATGCGCATGTGCGTTTAGCACCAGTGAAATCCAATTTTTAACTAATGAAAGTCCATCAAATGCCAAAGAAAATTGAGAAAGATTTAAATTGTGCCTTTAAATCTTGATTCTAGTGAATCCTAGGTCAGATTGAGAGATCAGGAGAGTAGAAGATGAAGGTGGTTGTGAGAGTGAGGAAAGAGCTTGTGAAAGTGAGAGGGAGAATGGGGGCGCAAGGGGGAGGAGGGAACAACGGTTATTTCTTCTCTGACAAAGAGGCGAGGTGCCTTCTTTCTCTGGCTTTAGCTCTCTAATTTTTCAATACACACGCATTTGGTTTTCACCGAACCGAGCGTGAAAAATCAAAATAATTTTGATTTGTTTTCTTCCATAATTTTACAAAAAATTAAAAAATAAAATTGATATTTTGGTTCAGTTTTTTTAGTTAAAACCAAATAGTAAACACTCCTATAATGACATACAAAAGGATATTAGAAAATGTAAGCAAAATATAAAACCTAATTTAAGGGATATGCTTCAAACATTAGATCTAAGATCGTTATAAATCTTGTTAGTTCTAGCATGCATATGTTACATCCGAATTTGATTGGGTCTAAGTGGTCAATAAATTAATTAAGGTTTAATGAGACTTTGATTGCAAAACCAATGTTATAGGCTATTAAAACCCGTGAGAGCTCCCAATGTCAAATCCACAAAACAAGCTCATTTATAGAAGAAGCCTAAAAGAGCTTTATACTTGAAAGACATAGAGACCTAATATAATTCTCAACGAATTGCATCATCGACAAATGATGTGGGAGGACAAGTCCTATTTAAAAGAAAAGGCTAGCAAGAAATAACTTATTCGAGTAACTAGAGTATAAGCTAGAAATAAGAGAAACATGAGAATGTTGCAACAAATGAGTGAAAATACCGGAAGACATGAGAGATTGCAATCCAAGGCAAACATAGAGCATTGTAGATTCGGATGAGAAGTTATAAAGTGCAACTCAAGAATGTGGTTAGTAAAGAAGGATGTCGAAGAATAGAAAAAGATATAAGTAATAGTTGTAATCGTTAACAAAGGACACACAATAAACACATAATACAACAATAATCGAGCAAATTATGAACATTATCTTTTAAATCATTTCAACACTTGAAACAATATAAGTCGTAGTTTATAGGTAGTTAGTAAGCTATAATTAGTAGGCGGTAATAGTAAGCTTATAGATCATCTCTCGGTTCAATTGCTATTTTTGATGCAACACACTCATATCCCATCTCTCAATATTTAGAATTCTAATTAGTATATGTTTATCAATTCGTATGTCTATAATTGCTTATAGTTACAAAGTTCTTGTCGTTTATAAAGACTTTTAATTCAACATCTATCAATTTTAGTTTATGTTCAACTTTATAGTATGTAATTTGCATACTTGTTGTTATGTTTAGATTAGTTAGTTATTGTTAATTCCATAACTCGTTTAAATATTAGTTTCCAATTATTATATTTTTCATACGTCCGCATTCTAATTTTGCAACCTAAATATCCTAGACGACTCGGAACCCCTTCCAATGGATTTTTAGGTCATTGCATTCTAATATAGGTAGTAGTTATTTTTCATTTAAGTATTTTTAGGATCAAATTTAGAATAAACTTGCTTAATAATTTTAGTCATGTAATTTAGAGTTTGAAAGATAAACAAACATATAGATCACATTCCAACCATCTTATAATCCTTTAGTTTCAAAATCTTTTTAATGGAGGCAAACAAAAAAGAATCC